AGGGCAAAAACAGGTGCTCAAGTTCGGGATATGTTCGAACCAATCCGCCAGGGCCCCATTTGCCGGGCTCGCTTGAGATCCTTGAGCTACCGAAGGAGAAGGAGCAGATGTGTTCGATATTGCGCGACTGACATCTTTAACCTTTTAATTGTTCAATCATGAAACTGGAGTGCTTACTTGCAAGAATTGGGATTTTGTGTGACCTTTTGCCTGGCACTGCCACAACCTAGCCAGACCTAAAATCGGGGCCCTCGATCACACCTCTTCCCATTCCTTCGATTGTCTAGTTCTCGGGTGTGAAACACCGATAGCATGGACATTTGATGATACTTGCGTGCCCTTGCAGGAGATCACTCCGCTCTGCGATCTGTGATGCAGTGTGAGGACTTCGTAATTATAGTACCCGTAGTTGCGCAAGTTTTCCAGATTTCCAGGAACCCGTGATGGGTCGTAAAGACACCGGAGCCTGCAGCTCGCGACAGCTACAATGCGCAAGAGGCACTGCTGGATTCAGGATTCATCAGCTGTGTGGCTTATAAGTCAAGAAATTCAGTTCTTGCGGCAGGCCCCCTTCACCCCATTTTCCCCAGCTCGAGCGTCGAATCTTCGAAGGTAGTATCTTAATTCTCTGAGTCAAGAATCCATCAGCAGCTGCACTCAGTCCGACCACTAGATCTAGAGAATCCCGGACCGCGATTTTAAAGAACCGGGCTACTTTCGCACAGAGGCGGACAGCAAGCAGGCTCGAATTAACAGGGTTCGTTTGCTTTGCTGCGCCCCACCAAAACTAACAGTGGAGCAGCCTCTCCATGCACTTGCCGGCGCTGGGCTCGCAAGGCCAGTGCCCCCTGCGCAGAGTTTCACCTTTTTCACCTTGCCAAGCGGCACAACCTGTGCTGCACACCAGTGGCAACTCGAAGAATCTTCAAGAATATCGTTTGCTTGCGAAAACTGGCCCGAAGGGATAACATGCAACATATGGCAGCTTTCCGTAACGTTCGAGGAGTGGGGCTCACAACGATACGTCCGAGTTGCCATCTCCAAACCTTTCAAGTGAACAGGCTGCTTGATCAAGGTGTGGCACGTTCTACCTTAGGCCTGCCGTTCATCTAGCAGAATTCTTAGTCCATCCTTCCAGTGAGACAGCTACTGCATGCTACTTTGCAACCTATGCCGGACTTCCTCCGACACCGATGAACGATGTGAGGGCTTCCAGGCTGCCAGCCAGCAAGCTCCGCCTCAAGGATGCTCTGCTGCATGCTAGCGAACCTGGCAAGGCCCAAGTCCACACTTGGTGCTACAAACAGCTTGACCGACGGACCTTTTCTACCTTGCCAACTCAGGCGTCGTGCATCTGGCCATTCAAATCCCGCTCCTCGAGGTTCCACTTGGCTCATAATGCCTTACGAGGACCACGCCTTCCACGCCCTTCAAATTGTCACCGATGCCCAAGCCTTGCTCTGAGTCAGTGTTATTGCTCACGCCTCTCTTTTCGTGGGGCTAAGCTTACGGCTTCCAAAATGACCCCCATGTTTTTTGCCAAAGAGTACGGTCGAGCAGTTGGCATGGATTCCAGCCCCAAACCCCGCAGCAGCCGCACACGTCTCAGAATTGAGTGTTCAGGCTTCATATTGCAGGCAGCAACTATGTCTGTAGAAGGGTTTGATGGGTATGCAAGTGGTATGCAATTGAGGCTCCTGTAATGTGTTCGAAGCGTACGGTATCTTAAAAACAGGGTTGCGAACTTTTTGGCAAAATCAAGATAACCCAAGTAGCCCTGAAGACTTTTACGATATGGCTGAAATGCAGCAGGGTTCTAGCCACTCAAGACCCTAGCCGCCCCCTTTTCAAAGCGGGGAAAGTCAGATCCTGGTCTGACAGTGTTCTGACATCGCTTTGTCTGTGCTTCTGGCAGCCGCATGGTGGTTCAGGGTCTCAATTGCCAAGGCTTCCCCCTTGTGCAATGGCCCCCGGCCCCTCGGCATGAGGAGACTGTTTCTCTAAACCCTAAACCCTAAACCCTAAACCCTAAACCCTAAACCCTAAACCCTAAACCCTAAACCCTAAACCCTAAACCCTAAACCCTAAACCCCCTAAACCCTAAACCCTAAACCCTAAACCCTAAACCCTAAACCCTAAACCCTAAACCCTAAACCCTAAACCCTAAACCCTAAACCCTAAACCCTAAACCCTAAACCCTAAACCCTAAACCCTAAACCCTAAACCCGGCTTTGCGACAGCAAAGCCGGAAAACGCTGATAAACCCTAAAACCCTGAACCAGCAACCCTAAACCCTAAACCGGTTCTGCATGTGCTGCATGGTGGGGACCCTAAACCCTCAACCTCTCAAGTATGGGAGTGCTCCTGGCAAGCTTTTCCTAGACTCTGGGTTCATGTCCCTGGGTGGTGTGACCGCCTCCCCGCCCCAAATCTTTCTTTGGACACTTCCCAAAATATGTTCCCTTCTGAGGTCCTTATAAAAAGGCGGCCCCTCGAATATAGGGTACCCAAAAAGGGACCGTCATTTTGAGAAGTGACAATTTGTAGGGTTCTTGAGCTCGGGGCAGTTTCGGATGAGGAGGTCTTTGCTCTGGACGAAGCACTTAAACCGCGCTCGAGCTCCAGACCCTGAGCCCCTAGACTCCGCAAGCCCCGAAATTATCCGAAATTCCTAAATTCCTACAAAGCACTTCAACCCCGAAACCGCCCAGATCAGCCCATGCTTCCCGGGTGTGGCGCGAGGCCGGGATCGGATGGTCGCAAGGGCTTTTTGGGAGTGAAGGGCTTTGGTTTTTAGGGTAGGGAGTTGAAGGAGGAGATTAGCATCTCGGCTTGATAAATGGGAGAGAGTACATCTCTGTCCTGCCGGCAAAAGCCCTGGCACGAAGAAGGCTACCGCAGACTCCTCAATGGACCTTGAATGGTCCCATTGTCACCCTTAAGCCCACAACCCGCAAGGCCTTAAAGCCTAAACTCTGGACACACCTAAACCCTGAACCATGAACTCTGAACCCTGAACCCCGAACAGCTGCAACAGCGACGAGAAGGCGAGGTAAGGCGACACGCAGTTGTCCACGTGCTCTCGCGAGTGTCTTTTTTGACAGGAAATCAAGGCGCCTTTTATGCGACAGCCTTGCGCCTAAACCCTAAAGTACTAGAGCCAAAGCTTAAAATCCAAAAGCTCCTAGCTAGGCTTTGACTAACCTACTGAAAAATTGCACAAGAGGGACTGTGCCAGCAAGTAGATCTCTCAACGCCTCCCGCAACATTGGAGAAGGGCTGTCTGTGGGGCAAAGGCAATTTTCTGGAGGACTTCTAGGGGCTTCGTTAGGGCTTCTCATGCTATTGACATATGACGCGTCATAAGTCGGGGAAAGGGGGGGGGGGACTGAAGCATGACGGCCTTCGAATGCTTTTCGCTCAGCTGCAGCACTTTAAGTCAGAAGACCGGAAGCTGACCCCCCAAAGCAACCCCCGCAAGATGGCGGACGACTGCAGCGCCAAGGACTGCCTCGCAGCATGCTGCGGCTGCGTCGGCGTGGCCCGCAGCTGCTGCGAGTGCCTCTACGCCTGCTTGCTGGCCATGTCAATGAAGTCCTCACCGGAGCGTCAGCAGGCGAAAACTGGGGATGGCAAATCTTTGCTCAGGAGCTAGGCCCAGCTTTTGCGTGGTTCACGGGGCTGTCTCTATGTTGCTGCAAGTCGGACCGGACTGAAGATCGAAGTGGCACTCATCGCTCACGATTCTTCGAGGCATCCTGCTGTGAAGCTCGCTGACTCCCATATTGGGGGTTGATCGAAATTGTGGTACCCTGAACCACCCAGAACACAGAGGATTGTACACAAAGATATGGAACCCAAAAGGGCTCGCAATTTTGATCAACACCCATACGCGGCACCACCCGGGGGCTCCTGAGGAACCACCCGGCATCAATCTGCCCTTCGTTTTTCTCGGGCTTCGTTTTATGGCATGACTCGGCATGACAGAGAAGCCTCAACGTGCGCAAAAGGATTTGCGATCTTCGCATGTGCGAGTCGCTGCCAGCATTTTCGGTGCACAATTGGTCCATTTGTAGTACCATTGTGGAAATAGCTACCAAAACACCTTGCTAACTATGGATTTATAGAAACTCTGCACCCCATGTTCGGGAGTGAGGCAAGGCAGCCGCAGTGCGCGCATTCGGCGCGAAGCGCTTTATGGTCAGGGCCAGGGTTTTGCAAACCCCTAAACACTAAAACCTAAAACGTGCGGTTAATAGGGGACGGCCCCCTATACTCACTAAGTCTCCGTGAGGCATTTTCGCATGCGGGCCCCATGACGGTGCGGTGCCCGCGGCCGTGCGATGTCACCATGTGAGCTCCTAAACTCCTTCATCTTTGGGGTTGAGGGTTTTGGGCTTAGGGCTGAGGGCTTAGGCGGTTCTTAGGGGGCAACACGAACTGCGCAACCCGCGTGGCCCTGCTGCGTTGCAGGCGCCCAGCCGTAGCGTTGCAATCAAGATCTCCCGTTCTTGTTGTGAAGAGACATTTGGCTCGGTAAGGCAAGAGCGTTTAGGGTTTAGGGTTTAGGGGTTTAGGGGTTTAGGGGTTTAGGGGTTTAGGGGTTTAGGGGTTTAGGGGTTTAGGGGTTTAGGGGTTTAGGGGTTTAGGGTTTAGGGTTTAGGGTTTAGGGTTTAGGGAGCGCGTTCCGCAGGTAGGTTCCATAGTTATCCCGCGCTACGCAGCAACATCCTTTAGAACAGGTTTGTTGCATCCCTGAACCCTAAACCCCTAGACTTTCAATCCTAAACCCTAAACCCCTAGACTTTCAACCCTAAGCCCTAAGCCCTAAACCCTAAACCTTTTGGAATCGCTGTCAGAGGCCAGGAAAGATGGCAGCTTTGCGGGTGCCACTTACATGTCAGCTCTGCAAAACGGTTGCAGTTGGCCCAGCACTTGCCATTCTCTGCTGGACGTTGCGCACTTTGATGCCATGTTTCACTCCCACCCGGCAGCGTGCCATGGTCGTACCCATGTTGGGCCATGTGGTTTCCGGACCGCCTTCGATGGAATCTGCCAGGTCTCTGCCATTCAGGATGGAAGTGCAGCTGATGGCCACAGACTCCTCGCCCATGGCCGGAAGGACTCTCGCTTCCAGTAATCGTATTCACGCCTGTGTAGCAAGGCCGTCTACCGGTCAGTGCGATGTGCCGGCAGGTTTGGGACCAGTTCTGGCAGTTTCAACAAGTAGCTTTCACACGTGCGCCGTGCGAGCAGATGGCCGGCTTGTTTGCTTCGGAAATCGGGTTTACGGGCAATGTGATGTGCCGGCCGATTTGGGGCCAGTTTTGTCGGTCTCAGTAGGCGAGGGTCACACCTGCGCAGTGAGAACAGACGGTCAGCTGGTCTGCTTTGGAGTTAACTATGACGGGCAGTGCAATGTGCCGACAGACTTGGGACCAGTTCTAGCCGTTTCGGCAGGCGATGCTCACACGTGTGCAGTGAGAACAGATGGTCACTTGGTCTGCTTTGGCCTGAACTTCGACGGGCAATGCGACGTGCCAGCAGATTTGGGACCAACTTCATCAGTTTCAGCAGGCACCTATCACACCTGCGCAGTGAGAGCGGATGGTCGGTTGGTCTGCTTTGGACGCAATGCTGACGGACAATGCAATGTGCCTGCAGACTTGGGGCCGGCTTTGGCAGTTTCAGCAGGCATTGTCCACACGTGCACAGTGCGAGCAGATGGTCAGTTGGTCTGCTTTGGACGCACTGCGGACGGGCAATGCGATGTGCCGGCAGATTTGGGACCAGTTTTGGCTGTTTCAGTATGCAACTTTCGCACGTGCGCGCTGAGAGTCGATGGTCACTTGGTCTGCTTCGGTCGCAATTCGAAGGGGGAATGCAATGTGCCGCAACAATTGGGGCCAGTTCTTGCAGCCTCGGCAGGCAAGGTTCACACCTGCGCTGTGAGGACGGATGGTGACTTGATCTGTTTTGGAGTCCCTTGAGTGACAGCGCGCAGCGCCGACAGGCTTTGAACCCGTTTGCGCGCGTGCGCTGGGAGGACAGAGGCTCAGCCGGTCTGTGTTGGGTTAGCGACGACGGGCAACGCAGCGCGCGCTGACTGACTTTGGGATCACCTTTGTCGCAGCTTCAGAAGCCGAGGGCTGCACATACAGCGAGAATCCTCGAGATGAATCTGGGGTCCAGAAACCGCGGGTTTAGATCCTCATCTTCGCTTTTGACTCTCTTGGACTAAGAACAACGCTGTTTCATCAATGGCTAAGAGTCCAAGGCTATTCCGCGTAGTTTGCAACAGCTTGTGAGGGTTGTCCCGGATTGTGGATTCTCTTGGGTTTCCTCCGCCCTGGCAAGCTACTGCAACACCCAAGTAAGGACGTAGGAGAGGGATCAAACCATTCGACTATCCCTAGGATTCTAATCGTGAGAATAAAGCGTGGCGGGGGTTTCACGCTGAACCCTAAGTCTTTAGGTCCTTTCGGCGACCCCTTCGATCCTTTACCGACTGAGGCCGCGGAGCTGCCAAAGCTGTCGGTTCGCACGTGACCCGGGTGTTGGCACCTTAGAGATCGCGTGATCGAAAAGCGAGGCAGGGTCATGACGGGCAAAACATCTGAGATCGACACGATAGCTCCTTGTGCACCAGTGCATCCGCTTTTTTGCCAATGCAAGTACGCCACTGCTGATGCGATCACGACTACTGCCCCATGCCAGTGCCAGTAGCAGGCTGTCATGGAAGGCAAAGGCTGCACGACCCCGGACCCCCCCGCCCCCGACCCCAAGGCCGCTGCACATCTCCGACAGCGGGGAAAACTCTGCACCCGGAAGGCGCCCCAGCAGCTTGTAAGGTCGACGGCCAAATATGGTGAAAGGGCCGAGGGCGCATGGCGAGTATTGGCTTCGTACTTCGAACTTTTGTGTGATCCGGGTAGGCAGCGGAGTCGACTGGAGCAGAGTGCCTGCCTTGCAGGTGCCTGCACGTCAGGCTCCGCAGTTGTCGACCCCGAGGTTCATCAGCTACACAAGCATACACAAGCAGCATGGGACGGGTTGCCATGTGGATCTTCTTCTGGGGAGTTGAGGTCGGTTGTGCGCAAAGACACCACCAAAATGATGATGTAAAGCCTTCACCAAGACAGGCACAATAAGAGCGTTCTGGTCCTGTCTGTAGCCGGCCATGTGCCGTGCTCTGACCCTGAACCTAGAATCCGCGAGGACCTTGCCCCAGTGCCACGTAAAAAGGCTATGTGCATGGGGTAGCTCTTGGGGCAGGGGGGGGACTTCTGCGAGGAGAAGTGCTTCGAGAGGGCTTTGTCTCCGCCGGAAGTAGAGAACGGAGCTTCGTCGCTGTGGCTCGTGTAGTTTCGCACGTGGGCACAGGCATGCCGCCAACCCCTACCCCTCATCACCGCAGCCGTGATGGGCTCATATCGGTTTTAAAGAGCGCGAGTCGTGGATTCCAGAAGAGTCAGAAGAGCCCCCTCTCGAAGTACGTAACATAGCACAACGGAAGTGCCGACAAGTCGCGCGATGTCCTTGTGGCGTGTCAGGCTGTTGGTGGCTGGTCTTGCTACTGCACTCGGCGACCTCCCAGTTTGGGAATGCGTGACAAAACGTCCATGCTCCCTTCAGTTTAGCGGTGACAACGTCACGGCCGACGATCTTATCTTGCTGAGCTCTTCGGAGACTTGTGACACCTGCTTTCGAATCGATGCCGGTGTATGTCCCTGGCTCGATGTAGACAGTGGCGTTGAGGACCTCACCATTTGTCAAGACGGCAACACTACAACGTGGCGATGCAAGGGGGCTGGAAAGGGAGATCGTGTGCTCTGCCCTCCTGGCTTCAAGATGTGTCTAGGTTCATCTAGCCACCTTGCCCTCTTTCTTGTAAATTTGAGAAGGAGGCTTTGATTGTAGCCCCCCATCTTCCTCTCTGTTATCTGCTTTGCTACTCTGAGCCCATGAGGTGTGGGTGGAGGATGTGCGGAGGAGGGCTCGACTTCTGCTGTGACGAGACTGATTTGGAGTCACGGGGCCTCATCCCGTGCCAAGACAGGGGTGGCCCGCGTCTTTGCCGATATATGTCGCTGCAGAACCTGAGAGCTACCCTCAACGAGACGCATGGCTTTGTGGAACCAGGCCTCCGCCCCTACAGCACCTAGATACGGCCCTAGATACGTATTGTCAGCAATTGGCGAAGACCTTAAAAGAGGTATCCCTGCGCGCCAATGCCTGGACCTTTAAAGAGCTCAAGCGAATTCTGCTTGAGGCGCCCACGCCGTCTGTCGTTGCAGTCCGGCCGACTTTGCTGCCGGAGCCGCGGGTCAAAGGCTCCCTGGTGTTTCGCTGCAGTCAGGCTTCACGTGTCAAGTGTAGTGAGGCGATGAGAAGGCTTGTGTGTTACCATGAGAGAGGGTTATGGCCATGGAATGCTATGGATGCCAGAGGGTGCCAAGTCTTAGAGCTTAAGCCGCAATTTCTGCTAATCTTGGATCCAAGGCTTGGAACCTTGCATGTCGTCGGCCCCGGCAGTCAGCACAAGCAGAGCTGCGTGTCAGGGCGGAACCGATGCTTTGCGACAACCACGAACTCATTTGGCCTCTCCATGGTGACGTCGCTGTTCCAGGTGACGCCCGCCGCCACGTGCGCTGATGTGGAGGCAGAAACGTCGCAGTCTTATGCTGAGAAGTTCCGGTTTCAGTGGAATCCCGACTGGACCGGGGCTTACTTGGACACCTCCCTTCCCGGACGGAAGTGGATGGCTGGCCAGGATCCTGGTATGTACACCCTCTGCTGGTGTCAGAATGATACGGAAGGTGCCTGTGAGTCTCTTTCCGACTTCAATGTGTCTGCCGGACAGATGACTTGGCACGGGCCCTTTAGGAAGGAAGTGCCGATGCTCGCTACCATCGGCGACGTCTTCGAGGTCGAGTTGTCAGGAGTGGGGATCAGATCCAACAGTGTCCTAAGCATCCAAAAAGACTGCGGAAGCACTGAAGGACCATGGGTCTGGGTAGAGGCAGTTCAGTCTTCTACGAAATTCCTCTACAATTTCGGCCAAGTCGCTGAGGACAGATTGCCACCTGGCACGTACAGCGCATGCTGGTGCGAGCCATCTCCCAGTTCGTGGTGTTTGCTTGCGGCGGATCAGGTGACCCAAGTTGCAGAGGTCTATGTTCGCTGTCCGCTTGGACAGTTCAGCCCCGGTGGAACGGGAGCTTGCCAACAGTGCGACTTTGTTTGGGAAGAGCCCAACCAAGCCCGAGACGACTGCAACACCCGGGCCGCGAACGCTGGTCAGATCGTTCCTTCGTGACCAATGAACCCTAAAATTGGGGTCATATACCCTCGACTACTATATCCCTACTAAGGTATATGAACCATAAGTAAACGCATTTAGGGTTCATTTCGTCCACAAGGTTGGTCTCTGCCTCTGCTACCTCCTTGGGTGGGTCCTCTTGTGGTATCAGATGGCCTACTTCGTCGAGCCTGGGTGCAGTCTGAGCATCTCCGGGCGGAAGGTGCCCAGCACGCCAGATTTTTTTGTCACAGGGGTGCACCCCAGTGGCCCCCCCTTAAGACCAAACGAGCACAGACATTCCCTCTTGCTCTGCAGGTGCACATTGCAGACATCTCCTCCAAGCCCTCAGAGAACGGAGACTGGACGGCAACTCGGCGAGTTCTTTTGAGACCTTTTGCTTCAAAAATGAAAAGGGAGACCAAGAGAGAGGGAGAGAGAGCCTAGAGAGAGAGCCCAGAGAAAAAGCCGAGAGAGAGAGAGAGAGAGAGAGAGAGAGAGCGAGAGTGAGCGAGAGAGAGAGAGAGGGAGAGGGAGAGGGAGAGGGAGAGGGAGAGGGAGAGGGAGAGGGAGAGGGAGAGGGAGGAGGAGAGAGGGAAGAGGAGAGGTGAGAGAGGCACTCTTGCAACTTGAGAGGTGGAGAGGAGCAGAGAGAGGGAGAGGGGAGAGTGGAGAGTGCGAGGGAGAGGGAGAGGGAGAGGGAGAGGGAGAGGGAGAGGGAGAAGGAGAAGGAGAAGGAGAGAGAGAGAGAGGGGGGGGAAGGGAGGGAGAGAGCGAGAGGGAGGGGGGTTTTGTTGCGCAGTGTAGAGAAAGTGTGGCGTGTTACTTTGGGGCTCCATCGGCTCAGTTGGGGCAGCCCCGCCCCACGAAAGAGAGCTGAGGCCTTCATCACCACCGTCCAGCCGCATCACTTCACGGCCCGCTTCGGCACCTTTCCCATCTACTTCTACCAGACAGGCCCGAAGAGCTTGTGCTTTGTTTGCAAACACTTGCCTCAAACCGTACCCTCTCCAGCTCTCCAGGCCACTACCAGCTCGACCGCAAGCCGAAGCCCGGCAAATTCCTCTACCGGGCGAGGTCCGTCGGACCAAATCGCCTCCAGCTCCTCGATGCACCTTGGCCCACATTTTGAGGATGCGTTTAGGAAGTTGGGGTGGAGCCTACACTGGGAGCCACGGGGTGTGGCGGCGTTTTGCATGGGATGGCCTGCTGGGTTTTAATCGGTGAACTAAGGAACAAGGCAACGCGGTGGCCAGTGCCGACACCTCCCGGGGCTGCCCAGATGATGTCAGATGATGTCAGGGGCAGTCGGAGAGTTTGGTATCTTAAGTGAGCTTCGTATTTTGAGCTGTTTTGTTATACTTTGCACAACGCGAGTCTATATACAAGAGTCTCAAACTGCTGGCAGCCATGTGGAATATACGTAATGGTAAGGGGGCACTTGGCAGCAGCATACAGCATGCATGTTGAGGCAGATGTATAGTAGAGCCTGAGTAGAGCGAGATGGTAGTGAATCATCGAGGGGGTCAGCAGGGCATTGTGCGTAGCCTTGTGGCTGACTGCATGTTGAGATGAAGATCTTCTGACCGACGCTGTTCTGCTTACTGTGGGGACATAGGGGCAGCCGAGGTTACTTTGTGCTGCGATACGCTCGTTGCGTCGTACACACTGATTTACTCCGCGGCATTCCTGTGCTCCTCGTGGCCTCCGTCGCTGGAGGTTTTTTTGGAAACGAGCTTTCCGGTGAGTTTGTTGAAAGCCCGTCGACCCCCCCCCGATCCCGCAGGCTCTTCAAGCACCCAGACCTTCGCTCAAGTTGCTTGTTGCGGGACATGTGGCAACTCAATAGAATCCAATACAACAAGAAAGGTCCTTCTGCTGGTTTCAGCCCCCCTGCTGGTTCTTGCCAACCTGCAGAGCGAGCCAACATTCCGAACTTGGGGTGGGACTGGAGTGGCGCTCTCGGGTTGCGTTTTTGGCTGCGTTGTGGCTTGGCTTTTGAGGTACGTGCGAGAGAAACCGTCACCCATACATCAGTCCATCCAGGTCTTCCTAAGGGACCTCCAGCGTCGGAACCCGAACCCGGTGGCATGCAAGAAGGGTCCTGATCGTGCGCTCACGGCTTACCAGATCTTCGACTTGATGCAGCAGTTTCAGCAGTACATACGGGATCGGAACTTGTATTACATCGACTCCAACATTGTCCAGCCTTTGACATTTCATGTGAAGTTGTCTCTTGCCGAGCTGCTGGGCCCCTCCTCAGTCGCCTGGTTCGTGTCTCACTACTGGGGCACCAAGTTCGCATACACGTGTGATGCTTTGAGACGTCATGCCGAGCACGTCACGTCAGGACAGAAGGGGACCTCCTGGCAAACAATCTCGTACTGGATCTGTGCTTTCAGCAACAACCAGTACCAAATCGCGCATGAGCTCGGCACCAGTCACAAGGAATCCTCGTTTTACCTGGCCTTGCACAGCCCCGTTGTTCAGGGGACCTGTATGATCTTGGATGAGAAGGCCTTGCCGTTGACGAGGTCCTGGTGTTTGTTTGAGCTGCTCCAGACCGTGCTCCTGGAGAAAGAGCGTGAGGACTTCAAGGGCCTCCAGTTCTGCACAAACACCGGCATTGTGAACTTTGGGCAGGCTACGACTGAGGTGGCGATCACCATCGGGAAGCGGCTTGCCGGCCTGTCCCTATCAGAAGCTGAGGCGACATGCGTGGAGGACCAGGAGACCATCAAGTCTCTTGTCGTTGAGGAGATGGGCAGCTTCGACGAGATGGACAAGATTCTCGACATGAAGATTAAGGACGCCCTGGTGATTTGCAAGAAATGCACCAACGAGGAGTTCAATCGCCTCTTTGAGCTCATTGATAACATGCATGCTGCTGAGTGCTCTAATGACTCCAACTCTGGATCGATCATGGAATTGTGATGCGCAGAATGTCCCGCCGTCCACACATGTTGGAGCCGACGGGTCAATTGCTGTCGTGGATTTTGCACAATTTTTGATCGTGGTTTCTCAGCGAAAGATCTTCTGGAGACAACCTTGCCAGCCTTCTTGTGTCTCGAAGAGATGCAACAAACTGGTTTGTTGGGTCTAGTAGAGCGCTGTCGAACGCGCCCGAAGAATACATGGCGAGTATTGGCTTCGTACTTCGAACTGCTGTCTGATCCGGTAGGGAGCGGAGTCGACTGGAGCAGAGTGCCTGCCTTGCAGGTGCCTGCACGCCGGGCTCCGCAGTTGTCGACCCCGAGGTTCATCCCACAGCCACACAGACACAAGCAGCACGGGACGGATTGCCATGTGGATCTTCTTCTGGGGAGTTGAGGTTGGTTGTGCGCAAAAACACCACCAAAATGATGATGTAAAGCCTTCACCAAGACAGGCACAATAAGAGCGTTCTGGGTTCTTGGGGCGTGGGGGGCGGGGGGGGCTTCTGCATGCCTAATGCATCTGCAGCCAGTTCAAGGGGGGCTGCATGAATGGAGTAGGCCCTTGGGCTATTTATATGTTCCCTTATTTGCCTTCAGAGGATCAGACTGAGAGGGTTTTCAGGGCCCAGACCAGAGCATGCTTCTGTTCAAGTCTAAATGGCCTGCAGCTGGCAATTATGCTAGGTGGATTTCCCAGCAATGAGCAAGCGCGATGCTAGTCGTAGAGGCTACGTCTTCTGCTACTGATTGAATGTCACGGAGTTGACGTGCATCAGCTATTCGTCAAGTCTGTGTCTTCTCATTGTCTTCTCGTCCATTTTAATTGTGCATTGGGCTTCTGAGCTCGTCTCAGCTCCTTTCGTGCCGGGATGTCCTGTTTGCTTCCTGAAGAAAAGGCTAAGGCTCCCGTCGAAATGCAAGCTAGCTTGCGCAATGGCAGATGGTAAGTCATCAGATGAGCTAGATGTCACCAGATACCGTGCTGGAGACTGCGGCCACTAAGCTGCACTAGTCATTAGATTGCCTGTGCATTTCAGTGGAGCGTCTTGACATGGATTGCCGCGCGATATCGATACACGTGTGTGTGTGTGTGTGTGTGTGTGTGTATATATATATATGTATATGTATATATGTATATATGTATATATGTATATATGTATATATGTATATATGTATATATGTATATATGTATATATGTATATATGTATATATGTATATATGTATATATGTATATATGTATATATGTATATATGTATATATGTATATAGTATAGTATATATGTATATATGTATATATATGTATATATGTAATATATGTTATATGTATGTATATATGTATATATGTATATATGTATAATATTGTATATATGTAATATATATGTGTCTCTATATGCTCGCCCCCCCCCCCCCCCCCAATATCTACGTTTACAAGTTTCCAGAGCCCAAAAATCAGTATATGCATGTATGTATGCACGCATGTATGTATGTATGTAGGTATGAAACACGGGCCTAGAAGTTACAAGCGCAAGAGGTTTTCGTAGCTGCAGTGTGTGTGCAGCGTGTGATACAGTTGTGCGAAAGGTAGAAGTGAATGGAGCGTTGTCCGACTCCAGCATGTCATGCTGCTGAGGAATCGAAGCGGCAAAAAGCACTAGCAGCTGTGCAGATCAAGGGCAGCGCCCTGGAATATGTGGCCAAGGAATTGAAGCAGGATAAAGAGGTGGTCTTGGCAGCCGTGCGGCAGAGCGGCATCGCCTTGGAGCATGCTTCCGACGACTTGAGGAGCGACCGAGAAGTGGTCCTGGCAGCTGTGCAGAACCATGGGTTGGCCCTGAAGTTTGCGAGAAAGGAGCTGAAGGAGGACAAGGACGTAGTGCTGGCAGCTGTGCAAAAGAACGGCGGCGTGTTAGAACATGTTGCAGACGAGTTGAAGCGGGACAAAAAAGTGGTTTTCACAGCAGTAAAGCAGCGCGGTCGCGCCTTGGAGCATGCGGCCGATGAGTTGAAGAGCGACAAAGAAGTGGTCCTGGCAGCTGTGCAGAACAGTGGCCCTGCCTTATTGCATGCGGCACAGGGGCTCAAGACTGACAAGGGGTTTGTGTTGGAGGCGGTTCGGAAGAGTGGCCTTGCGCTGGAGCACGCAGCTGCGCAGCTGCAGGGCGACAGGGAGGTGGTCTTGGCAGCTGTGGAGCAGAATGGCCAAGCCTTGCTGCATGCCACACAGGAGCTGAAGGTTGACAAAGGGTTCGTTCTGACAGCTGTGCGGAAGAACGGCGGCGCCTTGGGACATGTGGCCCAGGAGTTGAAGCTCGACAAGCAGGTGGTTTTGGCAGCTGTGCAGACGAGCGGCTTGGCCTTGGAACATGCTGCCCAGGAGCTGCGGGCCGACAAGCTGTTTGTGCTGGAAGCTGTCCAAGCCAGTCACTCGGCCTTGAAGTATGCATGCCGGAAACTGCGGGGTGACAGGGAGGTGGTGGCCGCAGCTTTGCGGAAGAGCGGCTGCGCCTTAGAATATGTGGCCCAGGAGCTGAAGCTTGACAAACAGCTGGTGCTCGGAGCCGTGCAGAAGAGCGGCATTGCCTTAGAGCATGCCGCAGAGGAGCTGAAGCGAGACAAAGAGGTGGTCCTCGCGGCTGTGCAGAGGTGCGGAACTGCCTTGGAGTTTGCGGCCGATGAATTACGACGCGACCGGGGGGTGGTTTTCGCGGCCTTGCGCCAGAACGGCTTTGCCTTGAAGCATGCTTCCGACGACTTGAAGAGCGACCCAGAAATGGTCCTGGCAGCTGTGCAGAACGATGGCCTGGCCTTGCAGTACGCGACAGAGGAGCTGAGGGAGGACAAGGACATCGTGCTTGCGGCCGTGCGGGAGAATGGCTTCGCGGCCCGGGTCGCCTCCAAGAAGGCCCTCTTCAAGCCCCCCTTCATGCTGGACTTGGTGAAGGCCACCCAGGCTCCCTGGCTCCTCACCTGGTCGCCGAAGTTCATCCAGGAGAATGCCGCCATCGCGAAGGCCGCCGGCAGCGGCTTGGTCTTCACCTGGTACAGCAGCTTCAACTGCTTCCAGCGCATGCGCCACACCTTCATGGCCACGGGCGCTTCGGTCCCTGGAGGCCACGAGAAAGCAAAGGTAGCTTCGGCGTTCTCTTCCTCTGATGAAGTCTCCTTTAAGAGTATGTCGTTCATATCATTGTAAACGCTTGCGCGCATTGAGAATGGGTTCTGCTTGGCTTGAGGACAGGCCTACGATCAAGTGATGGAGAAGCTAAGGGCAGAAGGCCGGGGTGGTAACCCGGCTGCATTTGCTCTCAAAACAATTAAAGTAATTAAAGCCCTCTCGAGTTTTTTGAGCAATTTTCCGCGGCATGAACCACCGAATACACCCAATGACCTCGACTGTCTTCCAGGGTCATCTCCGGCCTGCTGCCCATCATCGCTGGGGCGTCCTAGGGCAAACTTGATTTTGAGAAGCTCCCAGATCCTCAAATAGTCTTCATCTCCAGTCTAGTCGATTGTACCAAAAGCCCTAAACCCTAAACCTTACAACGACCCCGGAAACCCTAAAACCTTGTGGCCATTCTGGTTGCCCACATGCGCAACCGCTTGATTTGGAAGCTGGACATTTTCCGCTGAAAAACTCCTACGCCCAAAACCGCAAACCTTGTCGTCCCAGGTGTAGCCACCGTTTGGTTTGGAGACGAGCCGGTCTTCGGATTTGCCAACGACGATGGGACCTGGTTGCATCCCAGCGACGAGTGCGGTCGCGACGAGGTTCCCATGCCAGGCGGGCAGCGTTTAAACAGGAACATTCGAGGATCCCCAAAGACAAGTGCTTCGGGGTTTGTCGGGCTGTTAGGGTTGGGGTCAGGGTTTCGGGCTTCATCAGGGTGGAGACATCCAGTCTCTAGATTTTCCCGAACGGCTCAGGCTACGGCCCTTTTCCTGGGATCTGTATGCAACCCGCAAAAGTAGCATAGCCCTGATTCGGCACGCAGTCGGATCTTACCAGGGCATGTCTTGCTTCGACATTCGACACTGTTCAGGTGCAGGATCTCGGCACCACATGTGGAATTCGGTGGTGGAGTCGCGGAGTACAAAGTTTGCTCCAACCGAGGGTGGGAAGTACAAGTGCCACTTGCCCAGATGGTCTAGTATTTTTTCACTGCTGAACTTTCCTGTCTCTGCCCTCAATCACTCCACAAGCCGAGATTCGCCCCAAACCATCCCCCCACCCTTATAAATGCAGAAAAGTACCAAATTGCAGAGCAACCCATGTTTGGGCTTAGGGCAAAGCCCTATAACCCAAAAACCTAAACCCTAAACCACCCTGGTGCTTGTTTGGGCCTCCAATGCCTTTTTTTTTTTTGGGGGGGGGGGGGGGGGGGGGGGGGGGGACCTCCCTTCTACGGGTTGTTGGGGGCCTTGAACCTTTTTTTGGCTTTCTTTTGGGGCCTCCTTATTGGGGTTACCTGAAAGTTTCGGGTTTACAGTTTGGCTTCTGAGGCCTCATCTCTGCAACCTTCAACCCTGAATCAAGACCCTAAACCCTAAACCCTAAACCCTAAACCCTAAACCCTAAACCCTAAACCCTAAACCCTAAACCCTAAACCCTAAACCCTAAACCCTAAACCCTAAACCCTAAACCCTAAACCCTAAACCCTAAACCCTAAACCCTAAAGGTGTTTCGGGATCAGGGGTTGGTTTCTTTTGGGGCTTCTTGCGGCTTCATTCCGGGGTAGCAAATGCGGGTAGCACAAGGGCACTCTGTGTGCAAGAGCGGCAGGAAGTCTAAACAAACCCTAAACCCTTAGCCGTTTTCTTTCCCCGGTCCAAGAACACGCAGTCGAAAAGCGAGAAGAAAGGAGCGAGAAGAGCGCTCTCTCAAAGCGCCCTATTTCTTTATGCGCCAATTTCATTGTAAAATGTTGTTTAGCAGCTTAAGTGAATACTATATTTATCATCAAACTAAGCATTTCTGAGAAACATCATAACATCAAAACATAGCCATGTTCCCAAACCCTAACCCCTATACCCTAAACCATCGAGGTGTTTCGGGTTCAGGGCTTGGCTTCTGGACCGAGGCCTCCTATGGAGGGCCTCCCAGAGCATTCTAAAATTCTGAATGGAGGCTTTTCTGGGGCCTCCCGAACCTTTCTGGGCCTTCTTTTGGGGCCTCCTTGTTGGTTTTGTCTGAGGGTTTAGGGTTTCTGGCTTCCGGTTTAGTTTAGATTCAGGGTTGCTGTTGACGAACTGGAAGTATGTATCTCAGATTTTTTTGCTGGATGTAGCACCCTAAACCCTAAACCCGAAACCCTGTGAGCGAAAGGAAGAAGCTGAGGGCCGCCTGAGGGACCCCATCATAGGGAGGGTTCAAGCCTTAGATTCTGCATTTTCTGCTTGGGTCGGGGGGACCACCCCCGCCTTTAAGGGAGGGGGGATCCCAAACCCTAAACCCCTGAACCCCTAAATCCGTTAAACCCCTAAAACCCCAAGAGCAAGGCTGGTGCTGCCATTGGCTTCGGGAAGTGAAGCGCCGGCATGCCCAGGGCGCCGTGATTTGCTGCACGGTCTCGAACATTTTTACTCCAGACCCTCGGCGCTCAAAGGGGGGGGGGGGGGGGGCAACCGAAATTAGGGGCACCTTATTGGGGTCCTTATAGAGAAGGGAATCCTACTATTTGGGGTCCATATTTGGGGTGCCATCATTTTCGTAAACCCCCCAAATGTGATTTCGCGCGTGCACATGTCTAAGTTGCCTGTTGAAATTCAATTTTTGGAACTGCCGATGTGTATAGACATTCAACGTTGTTTGTATGGATCAGCAGAAGAACCGTCATGTAGTGGTTGCTGGCACTGCGTTGTCTCAAATCACCAAGCCCCACAGCCGCGCCAGCTCTAAATCCTACACCCTACACCCTAAACCTTAATGTGGTATCCTGATTAGTGTCAGGGGGCCCCCCCCCCCCCCCCCCCAAACTAAATCCACCCCCGTAATAGTGTTCAAAAAAAAGGGCCCCCCCCAAACGAATTTTCGGCCCCGGGCCCCCCCCCACCGGCTCCTCTTCATTTCCTCTTCGCTCCTCTTCCCTCTCCTCTTCCTCTCCTCTTCCTTTCCCTCTCCTCTTACATAATTAAGCTCAGGTAAGCTCAGATGAGCTCAGCTCAGGTAAGCTCAGGTAAGCTCAGGTAAGCTCAGTAATTAAAGCTAAAGGTAAGAGCTCAGGTAAACTTAGGTACCCTCCCCCCGAAAACCTTGACATTATTGTGGGGGTGCAATTTTTTTTTTTTAATGGGGTTCGGGGCAGCACGTGGACTACCCCCTTCAAAATTTGATGGCTAGGCCTCCTCAGATAAGCGAAGTCATAAGGAATCCTTGTTTTCCGGCCTGGTCGTCGACCCTGAACCCGGGAAGCTTGAAGGCGCGCCCCCCCGCCCCCCTCCCCCCGAAAACCTTGACAGTATTGTGGGGGTGCAATTTTTTTTTAATGGGCTTCGGGGCAGCACGTGGACTACCCCCTTCAAAATTTGATGGCTAGGCCTCCTCAGATAAGCGAAGTCATAAGGAATCCTTGTTTTCAGGCCTGGTCGTAGACCCTGAACCCGGGAAGCTTGAAGGCCAGCCCCCCCCCCCTAGCTGCTCTTCTTTTGCTCTTTTCTTTCATCATCTTCTTCTCTTTTTTTCTCTGTTCCGAAACCCATGCCCGAAAAACTTTACTTTATTGTGGGGGGGCAATCCAAATTGGGTCTCCTGAATAATTTTTGGAAAACTTTTCATTATTGAGGGGGTCCAGACTAATCAGGATACGACATTAATCTCAAAGCCTGAACCTGTTTGAGGTTTCCTCGTCCTTGGAGCATGTCATCTTTTCCCTTATTGTGTTTGAGAGAATCATATTCAGGAATATTTTTCAGAGGGTTTTGAGGGCCATCCTAGTTTCTGAGCTGCACTGAGGAGTGGGTGTCAACATATAATGCTGGCTCTTCGGAGCTCAGCGATGCGCAGGCAGACAAATTCGGCTTGCAAAAGTTCCTTTGCTGCAATATAGGGTTAGGGTCTATTTGGGGTTGAGGTCCTAAGTGAGAGTTTCTTGAGAGGAGGGCCTTGGGAGAGTTAGGGTGTAGTTCAAGCTTTTGCGTTTCGGGTTAATGAGTGTGTAGGGCTGGAGGGGCCACTGTTTGGGCATGACCTGTGTTCCCCCAAGGGATAGTATCGCGTTGTGTTGTGACGTCGTTTCAACTCCTGGTCTAGAGGCTACTTGGAGGCTCATGCATGATTATCGTCCCAATTACTTATAACCGACGTAGGGGGCTTATAAGTGCAGATATAATTGGGGAAATATTATATATATATATATATACACATACAAAATATGTGTATGTATATATATATATATATATATATATATATATCTAAGCAATGATGTACAAGTGCGTATACTTATTTATCTATACTTATACTCGTAGATAGCTATGTATAGGTGATGTATAATTGAAATATAGGTGATGTACAATTGATATATGAATACAAGGGATGGTGTCGAAGACAAGCCTTGGAGGATTTTGCGGCGATACGAGGTGTTTCTACCAAAGGGCTTCGTGCTGGTACCCGCCCTGCAGATCCAGCATGTGCCTTCTATGACCCCGAGTAAGGACGTCGCATATTGAGACCTATGTGTGTCTTCGGGGACCCTAGGGCAGCCCCAAAAACGATCCATCTTGGCGATGGGCACCTTCCATGCTCAGCGCAACCAAGGGAACGCTTCAAGAACTGTCCCGATGGTCTCCCGCCTGGTTGGGGCGAAGGTGAGATTACCATTTCCGACGGCTCCAAGTTTGCAAGGAAGGCGCCGATCCATGAGAGGACAAAGCTTCCTCTGGGGCAAGGCTGCCGATGGGAGCGCAGCGTACTCGATAAGCTGGACTTCCCAGTCTATGCCTTCTTCATGCCGTGAGAGTCGCTTCTCCTCTTTGAGACTGACGTCTAGGGTTTAGGGTCTAGGATGGCTGTTTTCAATGCACGGCCCATGGCTGATCTTTCAAGCAGTTCCTGTACCGCCCAAATGGGCCTGTCCTGAAGGGACGTCCCGGGCCTGTGAGTTCCATGATGCAGCGCTCTGAAAAGCAGGGATGTTGCAGGGCGTGGCCTGGTGCGTAGGTCTTCTTGTGGGGCTCCGGATTGTGGTTCTTGCTTAAGGCGGGGTGAATCAGAAGGGCAAAGGAAATCTTCTGGGAACTGTGATGCTGTGTCCTATGTTGGATTCGGGTTCCAGGGCTTTGTGCATGTTCTCAGACTGGTACTGTGAGTTCCTGGACAAAACCTTACGTGAGGCCTCACGGTATACGCATGTTGGCCCGGAGCTACAGTACTGTCGCGCGCATCCGCAGCAGCGAACAGCAAGAAAGGATCCCCGGCGTTGTCCTTGTGTAATCCCCATAGTAATCCCTATAGCCCATTCGTGTTGCTGGCCTCGGCCAGGCTGGCATAAAGTGAAGGTAGCTTGAAGCATGTACAGCAGTCCACTGCTGGACTTCTCGTAGCTACCCTTTGCGAGCTCACACATTGAAAAAAACAAATCCTCTTTCATCTTCGTGCTCTCGTCGGAATTTGCTTGACAGTGGCAGCGCAGGTCGGGATGATGGTGGCTTTGCCTCAGTCTGTATCCCGGTTCCTCCACCTTGGCAAGACTGAGGAACGAATTGATGCTGTAATTGTGAAGTAATCATGGGTGATCAGCTACAGTAAAGTACTCTACATGGCACTAAGGTCAATGGCCATGGCTGAACTCCACAGGTCTCAACTGCTCCTTTGAAGGCATCGGCCCGGGACCAACTCTGAGATTTTCTTCGAATTTTGGGGCGTGGCTGTATGAGATCAGGCTCTCCTTCCGCGGTCTTCGTTTCTTCCACACAGATGTGCGAGGCAGGGTTATCAGATGGAATCCCCGTTCGAGCTGCGTGCTTGCTGCTTGTGTAATGCGTCACGCAGGCATGTTTACTGGATACGTCACAGCCCAGGCATGTGTGTGTGTGTGTGTGTGTGTGTGTGTGTGTGTGTGTGTGTGTGTGTGTGTGTGTGCGTGCGTGCGTGCGTGCGTGCGTGCGTGCGTGCGTGCGTGCGTGCGTGCGTGCGTGCGTGGGTGTGCGTGTGTGCGTGTGTGTGCGTGTGTGCGTGTGTGCGTGTGTGTGCGTGCCGTGCTGGCTGCTTTTGCCCTGGAAAGCCGAAACATGGCTCGTGTAGTCAGTTTCGCACGTGGGCTCATTGCCCCCAAAAGAAAGCAGTGCATCCTCAGTCTAAAAGACCTGGAGACCCGAACGAAGAATCACCGCAGCCGTGATGGGCTCACATCGGTTTTGAAGCGCCGGCGGGGAAGTGGGAGAACTAACAGGAATTGGAGGGGATAGCCGTGGACTACAGAAGCCCCTTCTCGGAGTACGTAACATAGCACAAACTGTAGTGCCGGCAAGTCGCGCGATGTCCTTGTGGCGTGTCAGGCTGTTGGTGGCTGGTCTTGCTGCTGCACTCGGCGACCTCCCAGCTTGGGAATGCGTGACGAAACGCCCATGCTCCATTCAGTTTAGCGGCGACAACGTCACGGCCGAAGATCTGATCTTGGTGAGCACTTCGGAGACCTGTGACACCTGCTTTCGAACCGATGCCGGTGTATGCCCATGGCTCGATGGAGACAGTGGTGTTGAAGACCTCACCATCTGTCAAGTCGGCAACACTACAACGTGGCGATGCCAGGGGGTTGGAAAGGGAGATCGCGTGCTCTGCCCTCCTGACTACCAGATGTGTCTCGGTTCATCCAGCCACCTTGCCCTCTTTCTTGCAAATTTAAACTGATTCGATCCACATCTTCCTCTCTGTGAGGTGGTGGCTTTGATTCTATCCCCCAACTTCCCCTCTGTTAGCTGCTTTGCTGCGAGCTCTGAGCCCATGAGGTGCGCGCAGATGGCCTGTGGAGGAGGGCTCGACTTCTGCTGTGATGAAATTACTGAGTCAAGAGGCCTCGTCCCGTGCCAAGACAGGGGTGGCCCGCGTCTTTGTCGATATATGTCGCTGCAGAACCTGAGAGCTACCGTCAACGAGACGCATGGCTTTGTGGAACCAGGCAGGACTCGGCCTAAACTCAGATACGGCCCTAGATATTGTCGGCAACGAGCGAAGACCCTTAAAAGAGGTATCCCTGCGCTAATGCCTGGAGCTTTAACAGAACTCAAGCGAAGTTGCTTGAGGCGCCCACGCCGTTTGTCGTTGCAGTCCGGCCGACTTTGCTGCCGGAGCCGCGGGTCAAAGGCTCCCTGGCGTTGCACTGCGGTCAAGCTTCAGGTGTAGTCAGGTGATGGTGTTACCATGAGAGAAGGCTATGGCTATGCAATGCCATGGCTGCCAGAGGGTGCCAAGTCTCATAACTTAAGCCGAAAGTTCTTGTCATCTATCCAAGGCTTGGAACTTTGCATGTCGTGGGCCCCGGTGCTCAGCACAAGCAGAGCTGCCTGTCAGGGGCGAGCCGATGCTTTGCGGAAGCCACGAACGCATTCGGCCTCTCCATGGTGACGTCGCTGTTCCAGGTGACGCCCGCCGCCACGTGCGCCGATGTGGCAGATACGCCGCAGTCCTTCGCTGAGAAGTTCCGGTTTCAGTGGAATCCCGACTGGTCCGGGGCGTACTTGGACGTCTCCCTTCCGGGACGGAAGTGGTTGGCTGAGCAATATCCTGGTATATACAACCTCTGCTGGTGTCAGAATGATACGGAAGGTGCCTGTGAGTCTTTGTCCGACTTCAATGTGTCTGCCGGACAGTTCACTTGGAGCGGGCCCTTTAAGAAGGAAGTGCCGCTTCTCGCTACCATCGGTGACGTCTTCGAGCTCGAGTTGTCAGGAGTGGGGATCAGATCCAACAGTGTCCTAAGCATCCAAAAAGATTGCGGAGGCAGTGAAGGACCATGGGTGTGGGTAGACGCAGTTCAGTCTTCTACGAAGTTCCTCTACAATTTCGGCCGAGTCGCTGAGGACAGATTGCCACCTGGCACGTACAGCGCATGCTGGTGCGAGCCGACTCCCAATTCGGCTTGTTCGCTGGCGGCGGATCAGGTGACCCAAGTTGCAGAGGTCTATGTTCGCTGTCCGCTTGGACAGTTCAGCCCCGGTGGAACGGGAGCCTGCCAACAGTGCGACTTTGTTTGGGAAGAGCCCAACCAAGCCCGAAACGACTGCAGCACCCGGGCCGCGAACGCTGGCCAGATCGTTGGTCTGTGCCTCTGCTACCTCCTTGGCTGGGTCCTCTTGTGGTATCAGATGGCCTACTTCGTCGAGCCGGGGTGCAGACGTCTGAGCATCTCCGGGCGGAAGGTGCCCAACACGCCAGATCGCCAGATTCTTTTTGTCACAGGGGCGGCCCGCCCCCCTAAGACCAAAAGAGCACAGAGATTCCCCCTTTCTCTGCAGGTGCACATTGCAGACATCTCCTCCAAGCCCTCAGAGAACGGAGACTGGACGGCAACTCGGCGAGTTCTTTTGAGACCTTTTGCTTCAAAAATAGAGAGAGAGAGGCCAAGCGCACTGCAAGCAAGCAAGAAAGAGTGAGAGAGAGAGAGAGAGCGAGAGCGAGAGCGAGAGCGAGAGCGAGAGGGATCTTGATGCGAAGTATAGAGAAAGTGTGGTGTGTTACTTTGGGGCTCCATCGGCTCAGTTGGGGCAGACCCGCCCCACGAAAGAGAGCTGAGGCCTTCATCACCACCGTCCAGCCGCATCACTTCACGGCCCGCTTCGGCACGTTTCCCATCTACTTCTACCAGACAGGCCCGAAGAGCTTGTGCTGTTGCCTTTTGTTTACGAACACTTGCCTCAAACCACACTCAAGTCATGAACGCGGATTATGTCTGGGATTGGGCTGCTACCCTCCCATGGAGGCCACTACCAGCTCGACCGCAAGCCGACTCCCGGTAAATTCCTCTACCGGGCGAGGTCCGTCGGACCAAATCGCCTCCAGCTCCTCGATGCACCTTGGGCCGCCTTTTCAGGATGCCCAAAAAGCGTAATGCGGATTGCGAATTGTGTTGTGGAGCCTACACTGGGAGTCACGGGGCGTGGCATTTTTAAGGCATTTTGCATCGGAATCGGTGAGCTAAGGAACAAGGCAACTCGGTGGCCAGTGCCGACACCTCCCGGGGCTGCCCAGATGATGTCAGGGGCAGTCGGAGAGTTGTCTTGTGAGCTTCGTATTTTGAGCTGCTTTTTTGTACTTCGCACAACACGAGTCTATATGCAAGAGTCTCAAGTTGCTCGCAGCCGTACGGAATATGTGTAGCGGTAAGAGGGCACTTGGCAGCAGCATACAGCATGCATGTGGCAGATGTATAGTAGAGCCTGAGTAGAGCGAGATGGTAGTGAATCATCGAGCGGGTCAGCAGGGGATTGTGCGTAGCCTTGTGGCTGATTGCATGTTGAGATGAAGATCTTCTGACGCTGTTCTGCTTACTGTGGGGACATAGGGGCAGCCGAGGTTACTTTGTGCTGCGATACGCTCGTTGCGTCGTACACACTGATTTACTCCGCGGCATTCCTGTGCTCCTCGTGGCCTCCGTTGCTGGAGGTTTTTTTGGAAACGAGCTTTCCAGTGAGTTTGTTGAAAGCCCGTCGACCCCCCCCAATCCCGCAGGCTCTTCAAGCACCCAGACCTTCGCTCACGTTGCTTGTTGCGGGACATGTGGCAACTCAATAGAATCCAATACAATGCTCAAGAAAGGTCCTTCTGCTGGTTTCAGCCCCCCTGCTGGTTCTTGCCAACCTGCAGAGCGAGCCAACATTCCGAACTTGGGGTGGGACTGGAGTGGCGCTCTCGGGTTGCGTTTTTGGCTGCGTTGTGGCTTGGCTTTTGAGGTACGTGAGAGAGAAACCGTCGCCCATACATCAGTCCATCCAGGTCTTCCTAAGGGACCTCCAGCGTCGGAACCCGAACCCGGTGGCATGCAAGAAGGGTCCTGATCGTGCGCTCACGGCTTACCAGATCTTCGACTTGATGCAGCAGTTTCAGCAGTACATACGGGATCGGAACTTGTATTACATCGACTCCAACATTGTCCAGCCTTTGACCTCTCATGTGAAGTTGTCTCTTGCCGAGCTGCTGGGCCCCTCCTCAGTCGCCTGGTTCGTGTCTCACTACTGGGGCACCAAGTTCGCTTACACGTGTGATGCTTTGAGACGTCATGCCGAGCACGTCACTTCAGGACAGAAGGGGACCTCCTGGCAAACAATCTCGTACTGGATCTGTGCTTTCAGCAACAACCAGTACCAAATCGCGCATGAGCTCGGCACCAGTCACAAGGAATCCTCGTTTTACCTGGCCTTGCACAGCCCCGTTGTTCAGGGGACCTGTATGATCTTGGATGAGAAGGCCTTGCCGTTGACGAGGTCCTGGTGTTTGTTTGAGCTGCTCCAGACCGTGCTCCTGGAGAAAGAGCGTGAGGACTTCAAGGGCCTCCAGTTCTGCACAAACACCGGCATTGTGAACTTTGGGCAGGCTACGACTGAGGTGGCGATCACCATCGGGAAGCGGCTTGCCGGCCTGTCCCTATCAGAAGCCGAGGCGACATGCGTGGAGGACCAAGAGACCATCAAGTCTCTTGTCGTTGAGGAGATGGGCAGCTTCGACGAGATGGACAAGATTCTCGACATGAAGATTAAGGACGCCCTGGTGATTTGCAAGAAATGCACCAACGAGGAGTTCAATCGCCTCTTTGAGCTCATTGATAACATGCATGCTGAGTGCTCTAATGACTCCACCGCTGAAGCTGAAAAGATAATGAGCTTATGAGAAGCAATTTTCCGAAGACAGCCTTGCCAGCCTTCTTGTGTCTCGAAGAGATGCAACGAAGTTGTTGTCTGGGTGTGTAGAGCGCGCGAAGGCGCCAGAAACAGGAAAATGCAGTTCACTTGAGCCAGTGGCGCTTAAGTATGAAGCCGACTCCTGAGGAGTCTTGTGCTGCCCGCCTCCAAACTCAAAGTGAGATGCGCAAAGATGTCACAGCACACACATGGGGTTTTGATCTTGTACAAGCGGCGTTCCAGGGGCTTGTTCAGACGTTGAGGGGCCCACGGGTTGAGGTAGGTTAGGGGAGGTTTAAGCTTCTCCTGTTTCCTCAGGGGGGGCGCCAGCTTGGCGAAGTTCCTGAGAGAAGCCCCCGAAAAAAGGAAAAAGGAAAAAAAAAAAAACTCCCGCTTGGGGCTTGGCTCAAGAGTCGTTCCCTGTGTTTTTTCGCGACCGTACCGTTTGGACGCCACCAATGGCGTGCCTGGACCTGTTGGGACTTTTGTGTTTTTTGCTCAAAAGGGTTCGAAGCAAGAATCATGTAGGATTCTAGAGTGTCTATCACATATATAGAAAAGCCACACACATATATATATATATACATATGAAAGAGCAGCCTTTAGGGTCTATTTAGCTCATTCCTTTTTTTTAAGAAGCAGAAAATAATTTAATTTATTTAAATAAATTAAGCTATTTAAATAGAGAGAGCTTAATTAAATTATTTAAATCCTACGCCCTATTTTTTTGAATAAGTAAGGCGTCGGACTTAAATAATTTAATTGGCTCTGTGCTTGTCTATACTCACCTCCCACCACAATTAAATTAATTTAAACGATTTAAGCGATTTAAACGATTTAAACGATTTAATTGGGTCCAATTAAATCGTTTAAATCCTACGGTCCAATTAAATTATTTAATTGAGGCGTCGGATTTAAACGATTTAATTGTGCCCAATTAAATTGTTTAAATCCTACGGTCGAATTAAATTATTTAATTGAGGCGTCGGATTTAAACGATTTAATTGGACCCAATTAAATCGTTTAAATCCTACGGTCTATTTAAATTATTTAATTGAGGCGTCGGATTTAAACGATTTAATTGTTCCCAATTAAATCGTTTAAATCGTTTAAATCGTTTAAATCGTTTAAATTAATTTAATTGTGGGGGGACTCAGCCAAGCCATAAACCAATTAAATCATTTAAATCCTACGGTCTAATAAAATTATTTAATTGAGGCGTCGGATTTAAATAATTTAATTGGCTCTGTGCCTGTCTGTACTCACCTCCCACCACAATTAAATTAATTTAAACGATTTAAACGATTTAAACGATTTAATTGGGCCCAATTAAATCGTTTAAATCCTACGGTCCAATTAAATTATTTAATTGAGGCGTCGGATTTAAACGATTTAATTGGACCCAATTAAATCGTTTAAATCCTACGGTCGAATTAAATTATTTAATTGAGGAGGCGTCGGATTTAAACGATTTAATTGGACCCAATTAAATCGTTTAAATCGTTTAAATCGTTTAAATCGTTTAAATTAATTTAATTGTGGGGGGACACAGCCAAGCCATAAACCAATTAAATCATTTAAATCCTACGGTCTAATTAAATTATTTAATTGAGGCGTCGGATTTAAATAATTTAATTGGCTCTGTGCCTGTCTGTATTCACCTCCCACCACAATTAAATTAATTTATACGATTTAAACGATTTAAACGATTTAAACGATTTAATTGGGCCCAATTAAATCGTTTAAATCCTACGGTCCAATTACATTATTTAATTGAGGCGTCGGATTTAAACGATTTAATTGGACCCAATTAAATCGTTTAAATCCTACGGTCGAATTAAATTATTTAATTGAGGCGTCGGATTTAAACGATTTAATTGGACCCAATTCGTTTAAATCGTTTAAATCGTTTAAATCGTTTAAATCGTTTAAATTAATTTAATTGTGGGGGGACTCAGCCAAGCCATAAACCAATTAAATCATTTAAATCCTACGGTCTAATTAAATTATTTAATTGAGGCGTCGGATTTAAATAATTTAATTGGCTCTGTGCCTGTCTGTATTCACCTCCCACCACAATTAAATTAATTTAAACGATTTAAACGATTTAAACGATTTAAACGATTTAATTGGGCCCAACTAAATCGTTTAAATCCTACGGTCCAATTAAATTATTTAATTGAGGCGTCGGATTTAAACGATTTAATTGGACCCAATTAAATCGTTTAAACCCTACGGTCGAATTAAATTATTTAATTGAGGCGTCGGATTTAAACGATTTAATTGGACCCAATTAAATCGTTTAAATCGTTTAAATCGTTTAAATCGTTTAAATTAATTTAATTGTGGGGGGACTCAGCCAAGCCATAAACCAATTAAATCATTTAAATCCTACGTCTAATTAAATTATTTAATTGAGGCGTCGGATTTAAATAATTTAATTGGCTCTGTGCCTGTCTGTATTCACCTCCCACCACAATTAAATTAATTTAAACTTTTAAACGATTTAAACGATTTAAACGATTTAATTGGGCCCAATTAAATCGTTTAATCCGACGTTCCAAAATTATTATTGAGGCTCGATTTAAACGATTTATTGGACCCAATTAAATCGTTTAAATCCTACGGTCGAATTAAATTATTTAATTGAGGCGTCGGATTTAAACGATTTAATTGGACCCAATTAAATCGTTTAAATCGTTTAAATCGTTTAAATTAATTTAATTGTGGGGGGACTCAGCCAAGCCATAAACCAATTAAATCATTTAAATCCTACGGTCTAATAAAATTAATTAATTGAGGCGTCGGATTTAAATAATCTAATTGGCTCTGTGCCTGTCTGTACTCACCTCCCACCACAATTAAATTAATTTAAACGATGTAAACGATTTAATTGGGCCCAATTAAATCGTTTAAATCCTACGGTCCAATTAAATTATTTAATTGAGGCGTCGGATTTAAACGATTTAATTGGACCCAATTAAATCGTTTAAATCCTACGGTCTAATTAAATTGTTTAATTGAGGCGTCGGATTTAAACGATTTAATTGGACCCAATTAAATCGTTTAAATCGTTTAGATCGTTTAAATTAATTTAATTGACTCAGCCAAGCCATAAACTAAATTATTTAGGTAGGGCTGGAGGGGCTGGAGGGGCTGGAGGGGCTGGAAAGGCTGGAGGGGCTGGAGGAGCTGGAGAATGGATGGGCTGGAAAGGCTGGCTGGAGGGGCTGCTGCAGGGGCGCTGGCTGGCTGCAGGGGCTGGAGGGGTTGGAGGGGCTGGAGGGGGGGGGGGGGGGGCTCCCCCCTCCTCTCCCCTCCCCTACCCCTCCCCACCCCCCCCCCCAACCCCCCACTCCCTCCCCCTAATTTACCACCTCACTTCGCAGAGCGCCACCCCACGCACCGCGTCGCACTTGCAACCTGCTCCCCTACCCCATCACCCCCAACAAGCCCCCTTGCCACAATTTACTACACCCACACCGCTCGCACCTAACCCCTCCTACCCCTCCACTCCAAACTACCAACCTGAAGTTATCATAATTATGATGACTTCAACTTCCCCATCATAAGTTATCATAATTATGATAACTTTAACTTCCCGATCTAAACTATCATAATTATGATAACTTTAAGTTCTTTATCTCAGAGTATGATAAATATGATAAGCAACTTTTCATAACTATGATCAGTTATCATAATTATGATAAGTTATCATAAGTTATCATACTTATGATAAGGTATCATAATTATGATAAATTGTCATAGTTATCACAAGCTATCCTCCTCGCCCTTTCCCGTTGAAAGTGCTTACGGCTTAAAGACCTTAGTACAAAAAACTGTACTAAAGCTCAAAGAAAACAATGCTTATGATGCAGAGACTTTGGTACACTATGATGCGTCAAGACACAATGAAATTATGCTTGCGATCTAGACAGTGCGCCCTTTGAGATAGTTGAGAAAGAAAAAAATTGGCCGCGTGCCAATATTAATTGCTTGTAACGGGGCCGCGGCCCACATGCGCGACATACCCCGCTACAGGGGGTATGTATCAATGGTCGAAGTTTTGCGACAGACCTGTTTGTTGTTGTCTGCAGGTTCCAAGTCTTGCTTATCGGGGGGGTAAGTGTTCGTAAGTTTCAAGGAGCAAATACAAGTATCCCTGAATTTGAAACCCCCTTAAACTCTTAAAGGCTGAGAACGCGGAGTGGTTCCAAGTCTTGCTTATCGGGGGGTAAGTGTTCGTAAATTTCACCAAAAACATGACAATTTTTCCGCTGAATATGTGTCAGTAGAGCCGTGCTACCACAAAAAAGCATGACACATTTTTCGCGGAATATGTGTCACCAGAGTTCTCTAAGCACCATAAACATGACATTTTTTCCGCGGAATATGTGTCAGTAGAGCTGTGCTAACACAAAAAAAAAACATGACACATTTTCCGCGGAATATGTGTCAGTAGAGCCGTGCTAACACAAAAAAGCATGACACATTTTCCGCGGAATATGTGTCACCAGAGTTCTGCTAACACAAAAAGCATGACACATTTTTCGCGGAATATGTGTCAGTAGAGCCGTGCTAACACAAAAAAGCATGAGAAGGGCACCTATCTGTGAATAGCAAGATTGGTATTTCTAATTAGGGAGAGGCAAGGGAGATATGTAAAGCTTTGATTAAATAATTTACATAATTTAAACAATTTAAATAGTTCAAATAATGTAAATAACTTATATAGTTTAAATAATTTAAATCCGAAAAGGGGGGGGGGAACCACCCTCCCCGCCCCCTCAGAACTAAATAATTTAAATAATTTCAATCCGAAACCTCCCCGTCGTACTTAAATTAATCATTATTAAATAAATTCTTGGGAGGGGGGGAAGCTCCGGGCAAAACTTGGCCAAATCGAGCCGCGCCTTTCTCATCGCATACGAAGAGCTGCCCGATTTGGCCAAATTTTGCCCGAAGGCTGCCCGGCAAAATTTGGCCAAA